TAAACTTATAACTATTCTTATTTTTTTTTATTATTGATTAAAGACCCTCGGCAACACGAGCCATTGAGTAAACAACTGATTCACTTAATTACATATACTATTGTCAACTTATTTTAAGTATTCTAAATGGTTATTAAATATTGGTTTGAAGTTTAATCTTTTATTTTATTTACTCACAAAGTATCAATACACCTGTGACAAGTTTAGTCGCAAGTTTAGTCGCAAGTTTAGAATATGGGAATATATTTATATTTTGATTGTGTTTACAATCCATAACAATATATAAATTATATGTATTTTTTTTTTACGTGTTATGTTCCATGTTATAATTGCTATGCTGCTACATTACAATATCCGATCGAGGACTCTGGGGACATGCGCAAAATCCAAAATATAGTTTTTCGAGTGGGTAATGAAAATTATTGTTCTAATAATCTTGCATAATAAACATGATTCATATGTGATAAATATTGGAGTAAACAAAACTTTGGCAATACGTATTTTTTGTTTGGGTTACAGACACACGCGATACAAGTCTATAGACCTCATCAATTTTTTTTAATTCGTTTTTAACCAAAATCATGAAAATTAGTTATTAGTTATTACATAAGTTGACATGAAAATACATGCTTAATAATTTTTACCAGTTACTACCATTTGTTTGGAAAATTCAGAGTATCATCGGGAAAGAAGTGTAGGAGATACGTAGTAAGTGCACTACTAGCACGAGTAAAGACATTTTTTCCAACCGGCATGACTTGTGATTTTGTATAGATACAAGTAATACCTACTATCACTATAGTATAACAATGTACGCTTTCACTATATTTTTGGAATATTTTAAGGGCTGGGAGGTGCTTATTTACGTTTCAGCGCACACCATGGCGAAACTCTGGCGACAAAACATTTTCGTAGAACGAATATTTTGTGCACGCGGCACACAAACTCCGACACCGAGGCAACAAAAATAATAATGCGAAACTTTAGTTTTAAGCATGCCATCGCGTATAAAATGTCAAACGCACTGATGTACACGGTTATAAGTATATGAGATGGTGAATAATATTATTGCGTTTACGATATAATATTATCAGCGGTGTTTACACGTGACAAAAAGTCGCTGCGGCTTACGAGTGGACCCTGCGAAATTATAGATCCCTGTTTCAAAACAATCCTATCGTTCTTCAGAAATATGTATCCTAAAAGTGCTTAATTGGGTGAAAAAACAGAAGAGGTAAGCAACAGTGTAAAGAAAATATGCGTACCTGAATAATATTGAAATATCTTATCGTTTGATATAGTAGGTGTAAATATTAAAAGTAGTACCTACACAATATTTTTTTTAAAGAAAGACCCCGTCTTACCCAATCAATTCCAACACTTATAATGTTTTTTTATAACGACAACCGTACTACAGCGTATTCTTCGTATACAGATCGTCTGCAGTGTGAGAAGAGTGTACACCGGTGGTCTCAAACTCAAATTACCCGATGGTCATATATTTATGCATCAAAGGTTCGAGGTCAAAACATTTTCATAGACCTTTTATTGTTTTTTACTTTTGTCTGTACAATTTATATAGACATAACGATATGTGAGTTAAGCACAAAGCACACGGACTAAGTCCGTACACTACCTACACTTAAACACCAATTTTTTACAAATCATTATTGATTTTCGATTACTACGAATGATAAAAATAAAAATTATATCATCGGCAATGAAGGGTGTAAAAATAAAACATTACGAGTGTCAAATAATATTATATTGATAACTAGGGCTCGGATTTCAATGCATTTGCATCTTTTTTTTGGGATATCTTACTCGATGCTTTCCGAGATACAAATATGTTTCAAGTACTTCGCGATCTAACCACAATAATTTTTTGGGGCATTTTTGACGGTTTTAATGTATTTTTTAATTTTTAGAACATTTTTTATCTATTTGTCGTATTATGACTAAAAAAATTGACGTTATTGAAATATAAGTACCTACTATATAGTAGTATAGTACTACGTAATATAAATTATTTTTATTTTGAACTATTTGAACTAATTTAACATCAGGTTTTCCGGTTTTTACAATCTTTATGTCACACCATCCAAGGAAATCTATAAGTAAATCACCAAGTCAAATTTGAATAAACGTAAATTTAAAATTTGACAACGTTTTAAATAAAAATAAAGGCTTTAACCAAATAAAAAAAATATGGCAAATATTAGAAGAAGAAGGAGATATTAATCCAGAAAATATTATTCCAGAAGAATTAACACCAAACGATCTGACATTTTTCAAGTTTGCTCCTATCACCTCAGTCGATGTAGAGAGGTCATTTTCAATACATAAAAACTTATTGGCAGACAACCGTCGACCATTTAAATTCCAAAACATTAAAGAAATTCTTATTGTAAAATGCAATGCAAATGTAATTTAATTTTTAATTTTGATTTTTTTTTTTGTACATTGTAATGAAATATAATTTTAATTTTTCCTTATTTTTTGATAGTAATTTAATTTGTATTTATTTAATAAATAATGCATTTTTTGAAAGGTCATTTTTCGGTATTTTTAGGGCATTTAAACCCGAGCCCTATTGATAACTATTGATGTTTAAATATAAATAAATAAAATAAATAAATAAATTGTTCAAAAGTAAAAAAAAAAACAAATATTAAAAATGTTTAAGCTATTGCGGGCCACACCGAAAGGGTTCGAGGGCTGCGAGTTTGAGACCACTGGACGGTACACAGTTTTGAGTGACGAAAATCTAAGACTTTGCTACGATAACTCCGATTCAATAATTATTATAGCTAATGTATGTTATGTCGTACGCGAGTGAAGCCTTTTTCACGCCGAACGAGGCGGTGAGTTTGCGTTCTATTATTTACATGCATTATTGAGATATATATCGTGCAAAATTCCGCACGCTGAAGCTGCGTTGACGGCAAAATAACCGGAAAATTTACAGTGCATCCGTGCGGGGCGGATTATCTGGTCGTAAATAATTTACATCGATATATACTACACCTACCGATGCCGGGTTGCAATAATACGTGAATGATGAACAGCGTTCATTCGTTATCTATATCCGCTGTATCGATTCCACCTCCAAGGGACCGTTATCGTGTGGCCGCCGGCCGGTTAAGTCGTATATCGATCCGGATGGCCTGTAGGGCTGTAATTAAATTATTCTCCGAGTGCTTTTATGGAAAACCGATTAAGTGTGGAGATTTTTTCGCCCTTTTCATTAGGTTACGAAGAAAAAAAACAATAATGATTTGTCGGACCGGACCGTTTCTGAGGTCCTCGAAATAACCCCGGAGAAAAATTATGTTTTTAATATCGAAATAATATACTATTTGAAATAACGCGTTTATCGTTATTTATTTATTAAAGAGAATTGGTCTTGTAACAGGGATCTGTGGTTGGCATTATACATTCAACGTATGATGATGACAATTCCGTCTGGATATAAATTAAAGTAAATAAATATTTATCATATCTAGATTTTTGATTCTCTGCAGTCTGCAGTACACACTAACGAGTAAAATCGTATTAAAACTATTTAAAACCCATACTTGTTTACGAGTATAAAAAATATGGAAGTTTATTTATTATATATGATTGTAACATTAATCGTAAAAATGCTATCTTACAAATGTGAGATTAAAATGATTCGTTTTTATCTAGATTAATATTTTGAGTGTTATAATATGTTGTCTTACATAGATAACTTTGGTGATTTTTTCGCAAAACTGCCAGGTCACCAAGGGCACAGATACGGTAGATACATAAAAATAACAATAGCCTAAGTTTATACTTACTAGTAAGAGAGAATATTGAAATTGTATGTAATAATAACTAATACAGACTATATTGAAGAAGAAATGGTGGATCGATAATACGGGTTATAGGTTAATTTTTAGAATGATTGGTCGTACAGGGTAGAATGGTAAATAGTGTTATGAATTACCAGCTCATCATGGACTTTACGGTACATAAGAAAACGTTAAGGAGGGTTAGAAGGAACTTACAAAAAATTCTACGAAACTTCAATTTTCTTTTCTCAGAATATCGTGAATCATAAAAGTATGACAATTAGTATGTACCTAATACAATATTTAATACCGCCTAGGTTATAATATTCAAACAATTTTTAAAATGTAAATACAGTAGAAGTGTAGGACGTAATACTTTGCACTTATTATTTTTTTTATACAAAACATAAAATAAAAAATATCACCTGAGAGAAATAAAAAAAAGTCTTGTACATTGAATTGTGTTTATGACGAATGAAAATCTCGGAATTAAAAAAAATTGAAATTGAAGGAAATCATTTGAGTGTAACATTTTATTACGACGTGCGCTTTTCAAGACATCTTTTTCATTAGTAATGAAAGAAAATCTTCGGGAACAACTGAGCATATTGTAATTAATTAATATTATGTTACCATTTATGTATGTATGATATGTCATTTACAAACCCATTTGCGATGAAACGTGTTGAAGTCAAATATTCAATAATAACGTATAATATTATATTTTAATTAGGTTACATACGATGCTATCTTATTTACATTTGGGTAGTAAACGTTGACCCATGATTTTCTTCAATTACTTAATTGATTCGATAAGATCCAATATAATTTAAATGCTTATAAATAGAAACAAATAGGTAGACAATTAAATTTTAGACATAGAAAAAACGTCCAAAAATTTATTGCAGACATTTTTAGACATTGTTTAGTACTTCAATACCTTATGCACGTCACACGTTGTAAGTTATCACTGTTATTGGTACATTATAAGTCCACAGATAAGTTTTTTCCAAATTTTTTTTGTAAGGTTTTGAATAAAATAAAATGTTTTTATGTTCCATTTAGACTTCATAGTTTATACATAACGATTTTCTAATCCGTACACCCGACTTATCGTCGAGTGTCATAATAATGTAATATTATTATTATTATTATACCGTCACCATCGCCACGTTCGCTTACCCGACCATTATGGTTAGACACAAAGAGATGGGCACGGTAACCTCTTGCGTGTCGTTGAAGCTTAACGAGGAACTTCCGTCGGTCGTGCCCTCGTCGTCGCTCTCTTCGCCCTCGGTGAGCACGCCGGTGTTCAGTTTGAAGTCTCGCATATCCATCTGAGAAATATTATTATTATTATTATTACTATCATTATTATTATTATTATTATTACTATTATTACTATTATTATTATTTTTATTATTATAACGACGGTACACAAAAACGACGGCCAGGACAAATGTGAAATGAACGATGGTGCGGGTTATGTCACCAGGGCTTTGAAAGAAAAATAATTTCGAATATCGGTACTCTAATAATATATATTATATAGGTATATATATATATATGTGCATAAGTATATGTGTGCGTATTATTTACAACGACACAGGAAAGACGACGTAGATAATAAAAAAAATGCAGAATGATTATTTTGACGCTAGGGATAAAATACCTATAGTTTTCTCAGGAGGCCATTTTTATTTCTATGCGCATATAATATTGTGATTTAAAGTGGTCTATACTTTTTTGCAAACCCGAAGAAAATATTTTGCTACCGATATTCGAATGCGATTTTCGCAGCAAAACCTTCACTGTAAGTTATTATATTATTATTAATATTGTGTATAATACTATAATATATGCTTCAAAATAGCTTTTTTTTTCCAAAAACACAAAAGTCGACGTTTTGTTCTAAATAACGACTGCTATTGCGTTCAAAAATAAAAATAATAATAACAATCCAATCTAGTATAATATTATTATAATGTAGGTACAACTCGACGGTGAGAGGAGACCAAATAGCCCGTTACCCTGGCCCCCCGCACCGCCCACTACCGGTTTAAAGATTAAGTGCCGTTCGCTCGAAGGCGATACATCAACGTCATTTTTGATTTACTATCGACAGTGCAGTTTGGCCGCCGCCGCCACAGTCTGTATATTATAATAATATTATTTATTATTATTTTCGTTTTATTCTGTGTATAACAATATAGTATTATTATAATATTATATTATGGCATTCATTGCGCAGTCTCTATACACGTTGTTATAATATACAGGTACCTTCCACTGTTCCTTCCGCTGTATGGCCAACATGCGCTTTCGGCGTTTCTTGCAGTTCCGGCACAGGCAGCATTTCGCGTATATCCACTTGAAGCTCTTGGCCAGTATGTCACCGATGTTGGACAGGTACAGCAGAAACAAAGGCATGCCCACAATTGCGTACAATATGGTGGCCAGTTTGCCCAGAAGCGTCCGCGGAGTCACGTTCCCGTAGCCTGCGAACACGTCGAGACACGTCATGATTGATTAAAGGCGAATATAATTATTGACTCTTGTTTGGGCACAGACATTGTGTCCGCGTTTATTGTTGTTTTTAAGTACGAGTGATGTATTGCGGAGTGGGCAGAGGTTAGGTTAGGTTAATTGTTACGCCAAGTACAATAATGTATTTTACAATGTTGTGCACTCGTACAAGGAATAATTCGAAAATAAAATCGAATAAATACGTAAGAAGAATAGACATTATTAACAATGCCCATAAAAAAATTGAAAAAATGATTTAGGTAAATCATTTATCTTGTAACTTATAGCTATTGTATAGGTATTTAAATAGACAGATGAAACATAAAAATATAAACATTTCCACGTAAATAATGATAAACACATCCAACTTACCGCCCTATGCCGCCCACAATATGATTACCCGTTTTTGTACTCGAATTCGATACCAACGAGGATAGTATGGAAATCTATTAATAATTATTTACAAATGGATGAACCATTTTTCATTTTCAAACTATTTGACTGACGGGATTAATTTAGACCCAATATAATATTCGGCACGCCACTGGAGGCTTCCGGCCTCGGTGACAGTGTTGAAGGCCTATATTATATTTAAAAACGTCAACGGCGGACACGGTAGGCAGACAGTGATAACGGTGAGAAATTTACATAATATTCGTCTACAGAGCGGAGCTCGCAATCATCTATAGTTATATTAAAATGTCATAATATAAATCATACGTCGCATAGTACAAGAATGTTTAAGATACACGTTTATTATTATAATACTAGAGGTGAAATCCTAGTGAAAAATAGAACGAACCGTCCAATTTTTTTATATTTCGATAATGACTACTTCGTGGGATTGAAATGATTTGAGCATTATCCTATTGTATTACGAATCACAATGCGACACATAGTATTATGTTGGGTCGTCCGCGAAAAGGTGCGAATGGTTTGACGAGTTGTGAACGTTCGGTTATAGTAGAGAAGTATGTACAATATTATGATATATTATGGTCTATGATGGTAATCGTATGATATGTGTATACATCTATTGTATTTGACAATGCATTGTGCCTGCTATATGGATGCAAGTGAATTATTATAACAATACGCCATACCGATATTTTATAATATCCGCAGCCCTCGAAAATCTCACCGACCACCGTCCAGTTGTTTGTCTCCGACAACACATTTTTACTGACTACACAATATTTTTTCGAAATAATTACAGGTATAATAAAATACATCATGTCCTAACCGTAGCAAGTAAATTATTTCATTACCTTGAGTTTGTTTTGGTTTATTCTAATTGCTCGAACAAATATAATTTTCGCTTTTACGTCACTACTGGTACGGCACTTGGTGTGCCACTGATTTTTACAGTTTATATTAATTATTTGATGTGAGTGGTGACGATAAAATACTAACAAGTCAGCGAGACACTCGGGGAAAACAAAAAATGACATGCGAGATAAATATTTATAAGATTTAGTAACAAAAACGATAAACTATTTTTTACAATTGTTGTATTCCTGTATTACCTTTAGAATTATATTATATTTAACTGGAGTTTCACCAAACAAATTATGAAGTTTAAGCAAAATAATGCCTTATAGTTATTTGTTGTGCATTAATTATGCTTTAAAGTTATATTTGTGGTGCATGAGCTGGTTTGAATCATACTTCCCGGACTGGGAAAATTCGCCAACCTACCTCTCTGTGTATTTACTTATTTTGAGTAAATGTCTACCTATTAAGAGTATATTTTTTCTACACAAATAAACATTGTTTAGAATATTTTCTGAAAAAAATTAGCTTTTGACCGGACGACATCTCAGGACTAAAATAAATTATCCATTTGAAGACTAAAATGTCTTTACATAAAACTTTCAAAAAACTTTTGCTCCGTTGAAGCACATGTATCATTTATGCTTAGTTATATATTGAAAATAACAAAACGCATCATGTCTTGAAACCCGCAACACGTATTAGCTGCCATCCCACTCAGAGGCTTAAGTCATTCGTTTTTACATCCTATTATAACATAAATCAATATTATACATTAGTAAATCCAGAATTCGAGTTATTTACGTTAATGTTGAAATATCATAATAATAAATGTATGTTTTATAATGACTGAGAGCTCAAAACACATAGTAACGATACATTTTAGTGGATTTGAAAAAAAAAAATATCTATAAATTGTTGAAAAGATTTTTGTCTAAGCATTTTCACTATTTATTTTATCAAAGCCAGTGCATTATTTTTTTTAATCCTAAATCATTGTAACTCTGATTTAATATTCTATAATAACACAATATATTTTATGGAAACATTTATATGAATAAATATAAATATTGGATGCTAAAAAAATATATTCAATTTATTAACATTTTACTTTTATAGATTAAATTAAAAGTGTCACCAACACAAATATGTCATTTATTTTTACTCGTGTACATTTTAAAATGATTTCGTACAAACAATGAAAAAAATATTAATAAAAATGTCACGAATATTTGAAAAGTATTAATCTTTAAAAATAAACTAATAGTTTAACAGTCTATTAAGTTCAATGTGGGTCAAATAAATCTCTTTGTATACATTTCTCAATCTTGAAACGTCCACGTCAGTGTAGATACTTGCCATAATTTTACATATTGTTATACATAATAATATAATGTCACTCAATAGCTTTGATTATTAACTTCAAACGGAAAACAAAAGAAAAATAGAAAAACCGTCGTCAATATCGAGTCGCGTTCAATTACGACGACGGAGGGACGTTGGGCTTGTGAAAGAAAAACGTCGACGACTGACGTGATTGAATTATACGGACTCAATGTGGACCCCTTCTAATAAAGACGTTTCTGCTCGGGGCGCGATGTTAACCGAGTCGCATAGTATATTTTATATTTATGTATACATACCATTATAAGGGCCTCGTGATGAATTATTATTATCCTACGAGAATTGTTTAAACAAATATTCTCATTAGCCGGTCTCGACCCGTTGAATTTTATCAATTTACGAATATAAATAATAACGTGACCGTGAATATACTTCGTTATGATATATTATAGACGGCGCTCCAGGCAATGGATTCTAATAAATCATGTTCTGGCTCGTCGAGATTAAAAAAAAAAAAAAAAAAAATGATTAATTTTTAATTTTCCGTGTACAATTTAAATTATTTGTTTTAACTCTCGTCGGTGGCGGTGCGCGGTTGCATAATTAATCCAACAGCGCGAATTTGTTAGCGTTGCAGGCGAGGCGGCGATTTTTCATCAATGCAATCCCCCGTTACACTCGCAGAAATAAACATTTACACGTTAAAATACGGTAACCGTAATGCAATAATATAACCATACTATGATAAGGTAATACTTGAGTATAGTTATCGTTTGGTCCGCGTATCGACCGTATCGTACAATATTTTTATGCATTTCTGTGCACATTAGGAAGAGCCCCCCGCGTGTGTTTAAACGCTCGTGAAAGACATAACGTGCCTAAACTCGGGTGTATTGTAATCCGCTGTGCTCGTCGGTTCATATTATTTTTTCGGTTTTTTAAGATCTGACGTATGCATGCCCCCGAGTGCCTGCTGCAGTTTAAAGTCATCGATACATCACAACGAATCGTTCTAGAGATGCGTTTTCCCTCTATATTATTGCAAATAATATTATATTTTGGATCTGTCACGCATGCTCGAAAACTTCTATAATACTCCATCACTGGCGGTACCGTCGATTCCTCCTGTTCACGTTATGGTCGAGTCTCTCCCGCTCGAACAAATTTTCCAACTAGAAAACTACCATTCACCACAGTACGATGGCGATTCCCAGTTTTTAGAAAGCCACCTATAGAAATCGTACCTATAACATTATGGCAACTTACTGAAAAGTACTTTGTCGGCATTCGGTCATAATAACTGCCTCAAAAGATATCGTCGAAAAGTTGAAATTTTCGATCTAATAATAATATATTCCAACGTGATACTGCGTTCCGGCACGTAACACACGACTTCAGTAAAGTCTGCAAGTCAGGGATCACCCGGATAGGGAATTTGCAAGGTCAAGTGAATAATATTGTGCATCGCCACGAACTGTAGTGGGAGAACGGCTAGTCTGCAGATAATATTTTTTCCGCCACTCGAATTTTATCTTTTTACCGAGTGACCTCAGTGTGTTGAAAAAACGTCCAAAAGTTGAAAACAAGACAAAGAAAAAAATCCTAACGAAGAGTGAAACGAGTAAAAATATTTAATGTTAATATAACATTGTTATTGAACACAGGTATACTGCTCTGCAAGATATTTTTATAAAAGTAATGTACCTAAATTGCCTATACATCTCGCCGTGTTACACATTGAATTATTATTTTTATTACCTATATTATTGTCTTTAAGTTTGAAATACAAAGCCGAACAGGATGCTACAAATACAATGGATGTTTGAACTAGTAACTAGTATTTTTATTCATTAATCTCAAACATATTGATAGTATTGTAGAAAGTTAATACCAAGTGGAATAATTAGAAACAGTCAATTTCACGCCTATCCGAGCTCCTCGACGTAATACGTTTAAGGTCATTCACCCTACATTAAAAACATTTAATTTTGTTGAAAAAATCCGTTGTTTGTATACTTTTTTTTAACAATTTTTCGTCTGTACGGATTGTTCGAATCTGATTTTTTAAATTCATATAATTCAGAAGCATCGCCAATGTACATTTTTGCTTCAATATTCAACATTTATGTACATAACCATTGAAAAAGGAAAAAACTATAATGCTCCCTCGGAAAATGAAATTACAATATATATTATAAAAAAAGGTTACAAATCAATACGATAATTAAATAAACATTGAATAACTACATCAGTCACGTTTTGATTCAACAAAAAATGTACAGGTTAAAAAAGTGCTAACAAAATCAAATTATATTCATAACTATGTACGGTGCATACTGTATATATTGTATGCAGT